ACAGCAAATTCAAGCCACCCTCGGCTACACAGGACCCTATCAAATGAAAACACACACACACACACACACACACACACACACACACACACACACACACACACATACACAGTGTTGTCAGGCTTTATCTACTGAATTGGAAACCCTGGGGTGGAGTCTGGCAACCAGCTAAAACCAACCCTCTAGGGAATCATGATGCACAGCAAATTAGAGAGTCGATGAGCATCTTTTCCATGAAGTATTCCTTGTTGGTCTCACTTTAGGGGTAGAGCAAATCAAAGCTCAATAATGGACGGGCCCTACCCCAACCAGCCAGAAGGCCCACTAGACCCCATGCCCAACTTCAAAGCAATTTGCCACCAGGCTGTGGCAGCCAAACTATGCCATTAGGTTCTCTCAGCCACTAAGAGAGCAATGTGACAATGACATTACCAAAGAAGGGTGAGAGCAGAGAAGGATGCAGCCTGCATTCAGAAGTGATTAATTATAAATGCTTTTAAATTCACATCATGCATTAGCCCTAGATGGCCAGCCATCCCTCAGGAAGAGCTTGTTTCTCCCCATTCCATTTGTCATCTGAGTTACATGACCAAAAGCTAGAGTCCCTAAGGACCAGTTCCTTGCACTGCTTTGAACAAAGAGAGAGAGCTTGAGTTACCTGTTCTCTCTTTAGAACACCCTTAAATGCGCACTGCCTGGACTAAGATCCACAGGAAGAGGAATCAGGAAAAGGCCTTTCCAAACCCAGGAACAAAGCCCAACAGTGCAGGGAGAGTCATCAGAAGAATCCAATGCACTCTAGGGAAGTAGAGACCTGGCTCAAAAAAAGCATGCTTTTTTTTTTTTAATCAAACCTAAATAAAACATCTATCATATAAAGTAGCCCATCAAATACTGACATTTAAATCACAGTACTTCCACAGATCCTAAGGTTTGGAGAAAGAAAGCCAGGAACTTTAACTCATTCACAATTCTCAGCCTTTCAAGGAATCAGGAAGGTAACGTCCTCTACAGGATGTTTTACTAGAGTAGCTAGAGTAAATGGAACCCAGGACTGGGACTCACAAACCAGTGTGAATACCAACTACCTGAGTCCTGCAGCTTAACCTAGTAGATCTCAGGGTTTCCACTGACACAGAGGTGTTAATCCCAGTCCTAGGCTCTAATGAAAGTGGCTATTCAAGACTTTGGGACCTGAGCTTCCTCAATCATCAGACTGAAAACAGGTATGGTCAAACATACCTTTAGATAAAGTGGCTGGATACACACTTAACTGCAGACATTTGTTTCTCTATACTTGCTTTTCTAAGTTTTTATTTTTAGGCACTATAAACAAACTAAGACAGAAAATTCTAGGCCAGGCATGGTGGCACATACCTTTAATCTCCGTACTTGGGAGGCAGAGCCAGGTAGATTTGTGGGGCTACATAGAGACCAAGTCCCCGCCCCCAAAAAAAGAAAATAAAATTTTAGGGTTGAGGATATGGCTAAATTAAGAGCATGTGTTGCTCTTTCGGAGGATCCAAGACCAGTTCCTAGTACCCAGGTCCAGAAACTCATGGCTGCCCCTTACTCCAGCTCCAGAGTATCCCACACTCCCTCTAGCCTCTGAGAGCACTGCACCCACATGCACACAGAAACACACACAAGTAATAACATAATAAACAATGAAATAAATCTAGGGCCGGGCGGTGGTGGCGCACGCCTTTAATCCCAGCACTCGGGAGGCAGAGCCAGGCGGATCTCTGTGAGTTCGAGGCCGGCCTGGGCTACCAAGTGAGTCCCAGGAAAGGCGCAAAGCTACACAGAGAAACCCTGTCTCGGAAAACCAAAAAAAAAAAAAAAAAAAAAAAAAAAAAAAAAAAAAAAACAATGAAATAAATCTCTCTTTTTAAACTAAGAAAGCTGGTCATGGTGGCCAATGTCTTTAATCCCAGCACCAAGCCAACCCGGTTTACATATTGCATTCCAGGCCAGCCAAAGCTACATATCTACTGATTGACTTATCAGCAAGTTTATCAATTTTCAAAAACTCAATCAGCTGGAGGGCTGGGAATATGACTCAGTGGCAGAGTACTTTGTCTGGCATGTCTAAGGCCTTAAGTTCAATTCCCAACACTGGAGGGAAAAACAAAAAAGAAATCAGCTGGACAGTCATTTCATGATACAGCTGGGCCAACAGTAGTGGTTTATGCAGAGCAAGGCTAAACAGTGGAGCCTGTGGTACAGAATCATAAAAACTCTGTCCTGGCCGAAGGACTACTTATTAAAGACCTTTACTGAACACTATTGTATGTCACAGACTGAACTGGGCCTTGGAAAAGTAAAGAAAGGGTAACAACTAGCCTCAAAGATATCACAGTCTCAAAATGCCCAGAGTACTCTCACAGACTGTGTGTGGTGGGGAGGCTGGGAGAGTAGAGGAAGACGGGCCCAAACATTGGTAGCTGGCCAAGGCTTGACAGAGAAGTTTACTTAAACCCAAATACACTTAAGTTCAAAGACCAGCAGACCAAGGGCCAAGCATGGTAGCCCATCACTGGCGAAGGGTGAAGCAGGAGACTTAAATTCCAGGCCAACCTGGATTACACAGTGAGACCCTTTGGGGGGGGGGGGGATCCTCTGAATTCGGCACTCAGGGTCAGCTGGGGCTCATGCAAGTCGATCACACCCTATCAACAAGACAGGAAGCTCTACCACCACCAGTGTGCAGTTGAATGAAATTCATTCTTTTCATGCTTTAGTCCACAAGGAACTGAAAGTTACCACAAAGTTCCTTTAATTTCCAGAAAAACAAGCCATTCAAATAAATCAGAGTCTCCAAAACTTTTCACAGGACTCTTATCAGAATCTCCACTCTTGGGAAATCCACTCAGGATGAAAGATTACATAAGAGGCAGCCATATTTCAACAGAGGGTTTCTACAAAGGATGGGCCATTTTTTAAGACTCTAAACACCATGCCAGGTATAGTCGCTTCAAACTTTCAAATATATGGGCTGGAAAGAATGCCCAACGGTTAAGAGCACGTACAGGTTTTTTTTTTTTTCAAAGAACCAGAGATACAGCTCACAACCAAATGTAACTCCAGCTCCAGGGGATCCGACCACTCAGGGGGCACCTACACTCAACAGGTGCACACACACACAATTTTTTGTTTAAGTTTCACATTTCTTTGTAACTCAGACGTTTGGCACCACATACCCTTCAGGGAAGAGAGATCTCAAAAGAGCTCCCCGCCCCCCCAATCCTTCCATCTCAGGGCTCAGAAATCCAAATACCCCACAAAATGACTCAGTTGCTCCTGATCCAGCAGCCCATGTGGTATAGTGCTTTGCAACTCATGTTTACAAAACAAGAGTCCAGTCAGACAGTTACAGATAATTAGCCTAATTTTAAAGCTAGGAAAACAAACTTTTGTAAAAGCAGCCTGGGTGTGGTGGCCCACACCTTTAATCCCTCCACCCAGGAGACAGAGGCAGGTGGGTCTTTGTGGGTTTAAGGCCAGACTGGACTATCGAGGGAGACCCCGTCACAAACCATAACAAAGCAAACATACAAATAAAAGATGAGACCTACAGGTGCTTCCCCAACAATCATTAGTCACAAACACCCTTCAGAAGCAAACTGCAGTTCCTCCCATGCTCATTTAAATACAGATGAGAGCTTCATTACCAAGGAAATATAGATGGAAAGCTTAATTACCAACGCACAACCTATCACTGCCTTGTGGATCCAGAATCCACCGCACAGCCTATCACTGCCTTCTGGATCCAGAATCTACCGCTATCACTATCCAGAGTTACAAGACCACAAAGTTCCTGTTAAGTCTTCATTATATTACATAATAATGGGGACGTCGATCATAGACATTCACCTTACTTAATCATTTCACAGGGTATTTTCTCGAGTGTGCAAAAGAATTCACACGTCTTCCTCATCTGTCCCTGCCCATTTTCTTGTGTGAATGTTAAAAATAACAGGCAAGCAATTTGGAATTCTCATCGTATCTTTAAAGAAATTCTTAAGTGCTGTGGAGTGTCCTGGAGATGGGACTTCCATCTGTGACGCTGACACCCTATCACTGGATGACCTTGGGCAAACTAACGCACCTTTGGGCCTCAGTTCCCCTTGTCAAAATCATAGCAATGGTTAAACCCTATCCTTTCTGAAACAGACTTCAAATGCGCCCCAAGGCAGTACTAAGGTGAAGAGGCCGCCGGGAGAGACTGAGGGCCGAGACGGAGGAACGGACTTACACCTTCGGTGCTGGGGTTTCTAGGGAGCTCCGGCGGCCGGCCCCCCTGCAAAGCCACTGGGCCAACTTCAGGTTGCAAACAAAAACCTGTTGGCCGGGACTCCTCTAGGAATGGCCTGCCTCTCCCAACGCGCTCGGCTCGCGCTCCGAGGGAGCCGGCACACAGGAGAACGAGGGTCTCCCGGAAGAGGCCGGCCCCACGCGCGGTTCGCCCACCCGGACTCGCCCAACAGGGCCGCCGGGTCTCTGCCATCCCACGCGGAACAAAAGGCAGCTGGAGCCTGGCTCCGCCGCCCCCGTCCCCGCTGTGCTGTGGAGTGGGGGCCGGGGAGGGGAACCCAGTCCCCGGGGCGAGAAGGACGTGGATAAGGGGAGCCCTCCCTCGACCCCCTGAAGGAGGCCGGTCCCGGGCGAGGGGAGAGCCGGGGGACGATCACACTCTAGGGAGGGGCGGGGTTGCCCCAAACTGAAGGCTCCGGAGCTGAGGTGTGAGGCAAGGACAGGCGGCCAAGCCGGGAGAGAGGCTGACGTCCTCCCAGCCCAGAGCGGGCTCAGGTGGGGCGGAGCCTGGTGGAGCAGTCCAGTCGGGTGGGGTCCGGCTGGCCGCACGGTGCACGCCCCGGCCGGCGACGGGGAAGCCGGTGCTCTAGGGGCGTCCACGCACTGGAGAGAAGGAAGGTCCGCGCCCCGCCCCACCCCGGCTCCCGAGCTACCCCCTCCCCCAAGCCCCGCGAGTCTCGGCTCACCTCCGTTCCCGGCCCGCGCGAGTGCAAGGCTGCAGCCGCCGGCAACGCTGGAGAGGCGGGAGCGACCCGAGCCCGTGCAGCGTTTGACACCCACACGCCAGCCAACATGGCGGCCGAGAGGGGGCGCGCCGGCGGCGAGCGCGCGCGCGCAAGCCCCTCCCCTCCGAGCTCCGAGGCTCCGCCCCGTACTCATTGGCCCCGCCCTTCCTAAGCCCTAGGCCCCGCCTCCAACCCTGTCCGCCCCGCCCACATGCGCCCCTAAGGCCTCCTCTAAATAGCTCCTGCTATCACGCAAACCCAAGCAAATTTATGCAGCCCTTAATCAGAACCCTGCACATCCCCTCCACCTCAACAATTCCCCAGGGCATACATACTAGCCTAACCCTCAATTCACACTCCTTCCTTGAGTCCGCAAGCACTGAACCCCGCCTAGCCTGCTCAGAACCACGGCCTCTTAGTCTTTCCACTAGCATGTGGAAAATATTGTTGTGAAGCAACGACCGGAAGAAGCCAGGCGCCTGACAGGGTTGATTTATTTAGCTACAAATGTGTTCATGAGGATTCACTTACGCATACTTCGGAGTTGTGTGCTTTTCCGTGTGTACGTTGTATTTCAATAAAAATGTTGAGTCCAGAACCTTCAGTAGGCAGCCCAGGTGACTGAACACTGTAAACAAGTAGAATCTATGGCCCCCTGAGTCGCCCACGGCTCACCAGGACCCTGAGACTTAGCAACCCCAAGTGCAGGCCTGCAGGCTCACTCTTAAGCACCCAGCAAAGCAACGTGAAGCATTTCTTGGTAAGGAAAGCTATGAGCTTCACACAGAGACAGGCCAACAGGCCGGAGAGGAGAGGAGAGCCTACCACAAGGAGGCAAGCAGGGCCCCGCCTTCCCTGAGGGAGGTTCTCGGAAGGCCAGAACTAGGGGCTAGACCTCAAAGCAGATAAGCAGATAGCACTCACAACAGGGCCTAGGATGAATCAGAGCTCAAGAGGAGGGCAGAGGGCACTACTTTTTTGTTTTATTTTGTTTTTCGAGACAGGGTTTCTCTGTGTAGCCCAGACTGTCCTGGAACTCACTCTCTAGACAGGATTGGCCTCAAACTCAGGGGTCATTACACTTCTACCTCCCCAGTGCTGGATTAAGGGCTTGTGGACCACCGCCCAATCAGTGGTGCCAGTCTGTGCCCAGAAACCTTATTCTGCTTTTGCTCACTGAAGGACAGTTCGCAGGTCATTGTACTCCTCTGAGTCATAAATTCATTTTCCCTATAAAGAATCCATGTGGAAATAATAAATAAATAAATAAAAACCTCACATGGTCCTCAAAAGCAGGGAATCACTGGGCAGTGGTGACACACACCTTCAATCCCAGTACTTGGGAGGGAGGCAGAGGCAGGATGATCCCTAAAGTCAAGGTCAGTCTAGTCTACAGAGTAAATTCCAGAACAGCTGTAGTTACACAGAGACCCTGTCTAAAAAAAAAAAAAAAAAAAAAAAAAAGCGGAGAATCTAGAGTCCTTTTCTCCATTTTCCAAAATATAATAAAGCTGGGGACCACCCCAACACATTTGCAAGCTCACATGGTCACTTTTCTCCTGAAAGTCTAACTTGAGAAAGTTCTGGATGCTGGAAGCCCCTCCCCATAATTTACTGCTACTGTGTCTCCCTGGATTGATGAATGAATCATATATTATGTGCCTGCCTTGCCCTGAGAACTACAGTTCCATTTTGAACTGGCCCATCTGGTAGGGAAAGATGTGTCTGTGATTCCTTTCCTCCCTATCACAAGGTAACAGCCAACTGCCCTCTAACAAAAGGCCAGTTAACCAGAGGTGGAGGGCAAGAAAGCATATTTGATCATGTGTGTGGCAGGCTCCCTTCAGCAGTGAAGACTCAAAGAACCCAGAGAAAATTGTCTGCCTCTGTGCTTGCATTTGAATGTAAGGTCTCAGGACCGACAGACTAGGTCGGAGAAGTTCTCCATGACCAGCTCTTAGGATGAGATTTGTCTGGGATTTATGGCGTTGGTGAAGAGGAATTCTAGTCTCTATGGCTTGCCTTGGAGGGTGGCAGGGAGTAGGAGAAAGCAGGCTAGAAAAGGATCAGAAAGATGCTTTGCCCTGACACCTTTCTAATGTCCCTCTGTTCAAAGTACTGGGCATGTCAAATGCCACACTGTGGGTGTCAGTTTTCTGAATCCCAACAACTTCATTATGGAGAAAGGAGCTTAGAGGACAAAAGAACTCGACATTAAAATGATTACAACTCCAGACTGACAGGGGCAGCGGGCAAGGATGGAGACAGCTCCACACTCTAAGACAACCTAAAAGATTCTCTTCAGGGGCCTGGGCGGTGTGGTGCACACCTGTAATCCCAGCACTCTGTCTGGGGTGGGGTGGGGGGATTCTCTTCATGGGTTTCCATCGAGGCAAAGCTGAGACATGTGAGAAAGGGAAAGTTCTGGAACAAAGGGGAAAGAAGAGGCCCTCACTCCAGAGTCTGGATGAAACCTTTTGCCAGCTGAGAACCAAGAATTCCACCACAATTAATAATAACATTTGCTGTGAAGGTTCGCTACATAGTATTTATTTTATAAAGAAATATAGGCCATACCACTCTTGGGCATATACCCAAGGAATGCTCAATCATACCACAAAGATACATGCTCAACTATGTTTATAGCAGCACTATTCATAATAGCCAGAACCTGGAAACAGCCTAGATGCCTGTCAACTGAAGAATGGATTAAGAAAATGTGGTACATATACACAATGGAGTACTACTCAGCAGAGAAAAACAATGACAGCATGAAATTTGCAGGCAAATGGATGGAACTAGAAAATATCATCCTGAGTGAGGTAACCTAAACCCAGAAGGACAAACATAGTATGTATTCACTCATAAGTGGATTCTAGATATAAAGCAAAGAACAATCAGACTGCAACCCACAGAACCAGGGAAGCTACATAACAGGGGGGACCCTAGGAAGACTGTGGTTTATAATAAGTTTTAGTATTACTCAATCACTGGGCAAGCCTCAGTGAAACATTTCACTATTAGGATAAGAATTTGGCCGGGCGGTGGTGGCGCACGCCTTTAATCCCAGCACTCAGGAGGCAGAGGCAGGCGGATCTCTGTGAGTTCGAGGCCAGCCTGGTCTACAGCGCGAGATCCAGGAAAGGTGCAAAGCTACACAGAGAAACCCTGTCTCGAAAAACCAAAAAAAAAAAAAAAAAAAAAAAGAATTTGTACTATATCAAGCTGATAATAGAAAAAAAAATAAACAAATAAAAATTTAAAAAAAAGAAATATAGGCAAACACAAATGTCAAATAAGACTAGGAGTGGTGGCCCATACCTATAATTCCAGCACTCAGGAAGCAGAGGCAGGCGAATCTCTGTGAGTTCGAGGCCAGCCAGGTCTACAGAGTGAGTTCCAGGACAGTTAAGGCTGCACAGAGAAACCCTGTGGAGGGGGGGGGGGGGGTTTTGGGGGGGATCTCTAACCTAGACTTTATACTGACATGTCCAGAAATTCTTTTCTGGTCCAAAGCCAAGGGTCTGGTTTTGTTTTTTGGGGGTTTTGGTTTGTTTAGTTGGCTGGTTGGGTTTTTGTTTGTTTGTTTTGGATACACTATGTAGCTCTGGCTGTCCCGGAACTCACTAGGTAGACCAGACTTGCCTGGAACTCACAGAGATCCCCCTGCCTCTGCCTACCAAGAGCTGGGATTAAAGGTGTGTGTCACCACACCCAGCCAAGGGACTGGTTTATCTGAGTCAAGCATCCTAAAAGACTGAGAATGACCAGGCTGTGGTGGTACACGCCTTTGATCCCAGCACTCAGGGGACAAGAAGCAGGAGGATCTCTGTAAATCTGAGGCCAGCCAGGTCAACAGGACAGCCAAGGCTACGGGGACACACACACACACACACACACACACACACACACACACACACACACACACACACACGGACGGACGGACATCTCCAGTTGCTGTAGGTGACAGAACAGAGCTGTGCCTCCATCCCTGCTAACCCTGAAGCCAGGATTCTTCCCAGCAGAAAATAATTTGAGGGTGAGCCAGCATGAAGCAGAGTTGGAGTTTATGAAGAAGTTGGCTTGTTTTAAGACAGGTTCTCATTACAGAGTCCTGGCTGGCCTGGAACTCACTATTATTAGGTCTCAGAAGCCCAGGACAAAAGGCTGAGTTGCCTATTAACATATCAAATCGCCCAGCTTCACTCAGTATCTGTGGCTCCTCCCAGCGCTTCTCACCCCGCCCCCTACCCTAAACCTCTCCCTCCCAGGAACTTGGCTTCTCCCCTCCCCCCGCCAGCCCGATTCCTTTATAACTCAGCCATTTTTTCCTATGGTCTCCGGGCCTTTTGGCCTTGGCCACCTCCCTGGGTCAACAGCTCCTCTCTTGCTCCTCCTCCCCATCTCCCCTCTCATGGTCGGGTTTAGCCTGCCAGCCACGTTCAGCCTGGACTCTCCCCTCTGCCTGCTTTCTCCCTTACAGCTACAATAAAAATCTTCTCCCCCCCTTTGAGAGTAGTCATGGCCTCCTTTTATCTCATGTTTTCATTCAGCTATGTAGACCAGGCTGACCTCAAACTCGGAGATCGGCCTGCTTTGCCTCTGCCTCCCAAGTACTGAGATTAAAAGCCTGTGCCACCAAGTCTAGCAACCAGCCTGTCCTGGTGACGGATATCGACCAGACTCTTGAGTGAGGGGCTCATTTCTCCTGTCTTTCTATCCTGTCTCAGGATGAACTGTAACATCATTACTGATACATACCCAGGCATAGAGGACATTGCTGTCTAAATCTTCTGATTTTTGGAAGTCTGGGGAAATGCTGGAGATCAAGCCCAGGCTCTTGTAGATGCTAGGCAAATGCTCCCAGCCCCATCCTCCATCCGAGAATTATCCTCAACAATGGGAATGTTCCCTCCATCCTGGAATTTTTTTTTCAATGAGGGGAATGTCCCTATCTGTGCTTTCTTTTGTTTTGTTTTGTTTTTCCAAGACAGAGTTTCTCTGTGTATTCCTGGCTATCCTGGAAATCGTTCTGTAGACCAGGCTAGCCTTGAGCTCCTCAAGCTCCTCCTGCCTCTGCCTCCCAGGTGCTGG